GACACACACACACACGCACCATACCTCACACCACACACCACCTTCCCACCTCACCCACGAGCAAGGGTCTTGCCACATACTGCTGAGCCAGGTACCAGCGATAGAGGGAGAGTCCGGGGGGCAGGTCGGGGCGGGAAATGGTTTCGAAGCAGGCGGTGAACGCCTCGGACGTACGGACAAGGCGGAGACCCGTGCCGCGCTAAGGTGTACGGAAAGGGAGGGGGGGGAGGGGGGGGAGAAGGGGAGTGCAGGGTGGTATGATTGAGGGGTAGCTGGTAGGAGATGGCATGTAACATGGGTGGTGTGTGGAGAGGGGGGAGAGTAGGGGCTGTATGGTGGGGTGGGCGCCTACGCGACATGCAACTGGGTCAACGGGGGCGAAGTCAACAAGGTCCTCTTCATCGACCCTACCCTTCCCTACCCGGCCGCGGGAAGGAAATGGCGAGTAGGACGGTAAGAGTGGGTGTGGGGGAGTGTTTTATAGGGGGGCCATAATTTGTATGTACATGCAAATGATAAATGTCTGTCTGTCTGTCTGTGTAACGCCACCTGGACGGGTGCGCTACCACCCTCCAAAGCTGTAACAACGAGGGCCCGGAACCCACCATAACCCCCCCTATGATGTATAGATATAGATATCGTGAAGGTGCATACGAAAACTATAACATTATCGCATCACGCAACAAAAGGATGAAATTACCATGTCGACCTAACCGACTACCACTATCCAGACGGATGTGCGGAAGTGGGCGGTGCGGTGCTACCCCCTGCTGCTGCTCGAGAGCCTCCTTAGCAGGGTACTGCGGATGGTCAACCGCCCGCAGCCAGCTTCAGATGGTCAACCGCCCCTCACCATCAAATCCACCTAAAATGAGTAAACCCTCTCTCCCCCTCTCTGTACTCTGGTACACTCTTGCCCTGGCAGCAGCTTCACTCGCTCGTGGTTCGTCTTTCCCCCACCTCCACTCGCACCCCCACTCCCACTCGCACCCCCACTCCCACTCGCACCCCCACTCCCACTCGCACCCCCACTCCCACTCGCACCCCCACTCCCACTCGCACCCCCACTCCCACTCGCACCCCCACTCCCACTCGCACCCCCACCCCCACTCGCACCAACCTGCTTGTTGTTTTTCAGCATCCACAACCCTGGGGAGCTGTCTCGATCAGGGTTAGCAGCCACCCACTGACCCCACTCGTCCAGCTCATCCGGCAGCTTGTACGACCTGTGTACGGCATATCCGCACAGCAGTTAGTACGGCCGCTGATTACCCCAAGCCCACGGAGTTTACGGCTTTAGCTATGAAAAAACTTGACCCACTTTGCATACAGCACCCTTACCTAAACCCTAACCTCTCCCCCTAACCTCTCCCCCTCCACACACACCTCCCCCTCCCCCCCCCCCAACACACACACCGCACCTGGGCACTATGTCCCAAGCCGCCTCGCCCAGCATGTCCCGCAAGCTGCGAATCAGCGTTGTCTTACGGCTCACCTGAGGTGGGTGGTGGGGAGGGGAGGGGAGGGAAGAGAGGGATGACAAGGAGGAGTGGGACGGGGGCGGGGGTTACATGTACCCCTCATGTAGATACATGCACCATAACAGATGCGACCCCCCCTTCCCCCTCTCAACATGTGACGCCCCCCTCCCCCCCGCGCCCCCCTCACCGCCAGCAGCCCCGGTATGATGGCCAGCATCTGGTGGCTTCGGAGCAGATCCGCCGCGAGAGCCGCCTTGGCCGTCACACTCCACAGCACATCCCAGGCGTCCATGTGCTGGTAGCCGTACACACCTGCGTGCGTTCATGCGTGCGTGTGTATGTACGTTTGTATGTGACATGACATACACAAACACATAGGTACGACACAAGCAGGGCATATGCATGTTATGAACGGCGACACACTCTCCCCCCCCACCTTCCCCCTTCTTGACCCCCGTGCGTGTATCAGTCTTGGGGGGCCCCCCCGCCCTCAGCCCCCCCGCAGCCGCCAGCGCCCGCTCCACAAGCTCGGCGGAGCGGGGGCTGCTCAGAGCCTGCGGGCCCACGGGTGGGGTGGGGTGGGGGGAGATGAACATGAACATGAGCATGAGCACGGAGATGGCGGCGGGGGGAGGTGTGGGGAGGGGCCTCAGGGGGCTCAGGGCTTGTAACACACAGTTGGGGGCGGTGGGGCCCACTCGGTAGGTCCCGAGGCAGGTCCCGAGGCAGGTTGACACCCCACACCCCTCTCCGGGGAGCAGCGGCAGCGGCAGCGGCCCCACCCCTCCATTTCCTCGGCCTCGCCCCTCTGGCTGCCATCGCCATCGCCATCTTGATTCAGCACGTCCCCCCTTTCGCTCCCTCCACCTCTCATTAGGAAACCAGCGAGCATAGATCCCGTCTAGCTAGCGCGCCAAACCCCGGAGGGGAGCGCTGTTGTGTGCCGGCCATCGTTTCCCGTGCGGCCTGACCCGGGGGCGGAGTGCACGAGACTAACCGGCCGTGTGCATCCGGCCCCCGCGCTGTGTTTAGGTTCTGGGCCCCCGGCTTTTCAAAGCCCACAGTGTAATCAACGTCATACGTACAGACAAACATACATACAAACATACATACATACATACATACATACATACATACATACATACACACACACACCTGGTAATCAATCCAGAAACGAAACCGGCGGCCGCGGGGCTCAGAGACACCCGACCTGCCCCCGGTGCTCGTTTGTACGGCTGACGTCATCATCATCATCATCACCATCGTCGTCGTGGTGATGATTATCGTCATGACGTCATCGCGACGAGGCCGTCCAGGTGAGGGTCCGTACGAGTGTGTATACATGGGGGGCCGCCGGTGTGCATCGCAGAGAGAGGTAACCAGCGAAGGGGGCCATCCGAGGGGACAAAGGGGGACAAGGAATATCTTGGAACTGGGGACCTGGACGCAATCCCCCCACCTGGGCGCCACCGGCCCTCTTCCGATGGTGAGGGTGCGCGAGGGTGTGAGCATGTGTATGTCTAAGCATGGTTATAATGTGAGCATGTGTATTTTGCCTGTCGTCGTGAAGGGCAAGGTGGCGAACTTAAGGAGGGGGGATCGGGGGATTTGTTGGGAGGCTTCGTCCTACCAGGTGTTTCATCCGCACTGTCGCCGACCTCGCCTCCGGCGCCACCGTACCCAGCCCGCGCCAGCATAGGCGCATCTTTCTGTCGGCGGCTTCGTCGCTTGCCACCTCGCCTAGCTAAGCTATTACCTGCCATGCTGCGCGAGCGGCTGCAGACCTGGGCATCCCAGAGATGCCGCTTTTGGGTTGTGGACGCCCTGGCGTTTACGGGCCATGTACTCCCAGAACAGATGCCGCTATTTAATGATACTGTCGTGTCCATCTAGGACGGGAATCCTCTCTACGCGGACGTCCGGAGATGTACGGGTCTGGCCATTTTTTTATTTCGAAAGGTTTAACATGGGAGAGCCGAGACATGCAAATTGTTACATTTATGTAATTTTGCTACCTAAGAAGTGCGCTAATGACGTCCTGATGTATATATAGCTCGCACGCTGTGCGGCAAACGATGCTTGGGGGTGAACTCATTACTCTCCTGATTGCCTAATTTGCGCAAATAGACTCTGAATATTAAATTGTTGCCCGTCATAATTGTGCTGTGGTTGCTGGGTCATGTAAAAAGAACCAAGCACCATGAACGCTGCGCTTTCGACTTCAACTTACAAATAGGGAAACACCCTTGTCCTTAGCTATCCCGTAATATTTGCCCCATCTCGAGCAACCTAAGATAATATCAGTCTCCTTACAGTAGATGGCAACGGCAATAGCTCGACCCGCGCACCGAAGGCAGGGATCGGATGTAACCGCTCTGCCGCTGCCTATGCTGGGCGCAGCGACATCGACGGTAACTCTCGATGGAAGGATACTGGAAATCCACGATAATCAGCAGCGCGGGCGAAAGGATGATGACGGACGGGGGCCGACGAAAATGCAGGCAAAAGGAGCTGTGGTAAGCCATTTTGTGCGCTAGATTGTTGACTGTAATCCTCCATATAGGTTAGGCATCTCATTAACTGAGATATGGCTTGCGAGACCTACCGGGGCCGGTCGGTTAAGCCGTTGCGTGGGCGCTTGCTATCAGATAGCGTCGGCGACTCTGCAATACTTTATGCATGCTGCGAAAAACCTTTGTACCTTACCATGCTTCAACCTCCCTTCCATTTCGCCTCGTTTTCGTCCTTAGTTTAGCCCAACCAAATGGGCCGCCAATGCGACATGCTGTCTGGTTACGTACAAAACAGCTTCACCAGCATGCCGGACCTTACATAGCTCTGTTTCATGGTTGATGGTGGGATTGCAGTTGCAGGTGGCACAATCCATGCATTTTCAACTCGCTATTGCCTTGGAACATGTCACTGCTATGCCGGATTGCTACCTCTTGCATTTTCCGAACTCCGATTGAACCAACCTGCAAGCACTATTCCCACCTACCAACCCCCCGGCAGGCGCGACCGCCGCCCCTCCCAAGAACGCTCTCAGATAGGGCCCCTATGACTCCGCCGCGCATCAGCGGCGTGAGCCTTGCCCCATTGCCCAACTTGGAGCATCATCACCACCATAGCTTCAGTGGAGAAAAGTCACCGGGCGCGTCCGGTGCTCCAAAACCGCTACAACGGCGGCCGTCCCTCACACACGGGGTTCTGGGCGGCAAGGCTCTGCCGCCGCACGCTGCGCTCGGCGCCGCCTGCGGTCACGCCTGCGTTGCAGCCGCGCCTGCCCCGGCTGCGACTGTTGGTGCCAGTGTGGCCCACGGTGCCGCCTCATTCTCCTGCGGAGGCGGCATTGGAACCTCCAGCCAGCTGATCGCTGAAGGCCGAAGCATCGCGCGGAGTGTGACCATCGATCCTTGGATTGTTGCATACATGGACATCAACGGTACCGACGCCGACAGCGTGTGTGCGACACCGCCACCGCGGCTGAACATGCAGTCCTTGGCACGATCGGACTCGAATGGCGCATTCGGGCCCCTGTCTCCCTGGCCCCTTAGCCCCTCTATTCTCACGGTGTGCGGGCAGCTGGGTGTTGATGACCACTTCGCGGACAACGGCTCGTTGGAACTTGTGGACATGAGGACGTGCCAGTCGCCCAAGCTGCCACCTGTGTGACAAGGATTATCCGTACGATGATGTACGGACAGGCTTGCTAGGATGTGAATTATAAGAGTGGTGGGAAGTAATGCTGCAGGGGCCGCAGCGAAGGATTGGGGCCGCCTTCTCTCCGGACAGTGGTTGGGGGAGGCTGTCACTCGAGTAGTAGGTTGATGTGGGTCAGACGCGTGATTGTGATAACTGGGCTACAGTTAGGCGCTCTTGCGCAGAATAAATGCTTGGGCTGGAATGGGTTGAAATCTCGAAATGCACATGCATGCAAGCACGACGGCAGTTCGGAGAACTGGAGAGGAAAGCTGGAGAATGGAATAAGAAGTCTGTATATAATGGGAGATCTTGGAACTACCCGACGGGGAGGAACACATCGCTATGACATCGCTAGTGGTGTGCGAGGCATCGCAACACGAATTTGCTGCGGCAGGGGCCACCGGGGCCAAATGCGTTGTATTGCTGAAGCCATGGTAAAGTAGGTCCAGTTGTGTGCTTCTTTGAAACCTAGGGCACTCATGCCAACGCCAATGCTGGTGCAATGATGGCGACGCCACCAGCTTATGCGCGTGTCTTTGTTCGTCTTAAAAATCGCAATCTTAAGCTACCACCCCTAGAGCTGCTTCCCATCTCTAGCTTCTTAATGTTGTCGTCTTAGGATCTAGTACCACCTCCCTTCCTGGGAACTGTTTTGTGAGCATCATGCACTGGCATCCTTAATGTCCCATACCCTCCGAACATTGGAGTGGAGCTGCAGTGGGGCTTTGAATTTCATTGTGCGGTGCGGTCCTTCATGTCTAAAGGACTTTCCGTGCACGACTCATTAACATGAAGTGCAATTGTGTATTGTGCACCTGATGCTCTGGCCATGAGGGCACGCGCGGCACCCTTTTGAAACTTTGACACCTGCCCCTGAAGAAGGCGCAGAGAATTGTTCTTATCCTGCCGATGCCGAAAAGCTTTTCGCGGGACCTGTGATCTGATGTACTTGTACATGAAGGCGGGATTTCGGATGCATACATGGTAAAAGGATCTTGAAATTGAATAAGGGCTTTACGTTCCATGTACGTGTAGCGGGATCTTCAGGGCTTCTAAACATCCCCCCACGCCCTCCCGCAGTTGTCGGTTCATTAACTGTCTTGCTACTCCCTTGTAAGGGTTTTTTTGTTTAGGCCTCTTATGTCGCGTTGGCAAGATATCGGCGACTTGTCGGCTATGTTTACAGGAGGTTGCCTAGATGGGCCGGAACTGCCAAGGGGGTGGATAGAGGAAGAGTGTGTCTGCGAAAGGACAGATTGTGAAAGGTGCCAGGTTGCTGAAACGGTTGTGCGTTGTCGCGATCACAAATGCTTTTGCAAAATTGGCAGGGCGGCCCGCCTTGATGTCGCTGCATACCTTATTCATTGCTTGTACGAGACTTCCTGTAGTTTCGGGGCTCATGTGGGCATGATTGGTTGTATGAAGGAAGTGCACCTGTAAGATTATGTTCGCGTTGCGTGTTGGTTTTTAATCCAGAAGTCACAGTCCAGAATTGGCACTGAGGGTCAAACGTACCTAATTCAACGCCAGAGAGTTCAACAACGTGGCAATAACCTTGCACCACAGCAAAGCATAATCCAATTGAAAACAGTAGTGTTAAGCCCGTATACATATCAGGGAACGTAAGACGTAGCTTGTGTATTCGTGTGACTCCATCATGGCTTTGAAGTCGCCTGGTACAGGAGAATGGAAGCGTACCCTCTTGTGGATGACTTGGACTGTTAACCTCTTAATTAATGCAACCTACATGGTCATGACTTTTGCAACTTCAAACAAAATTGTCAACGTGAGTTCACAGCTCTTCTTGGCTTGCCAGGGGCCAGGGCACGGCTACTGTGGATAAAAGGACTGGTTAATCCTTGCTCGCAGAGCTACCGCCAGTTGAACCAGCTCAACTTTCATGAAACCGCTTGGCGAGCTCCTATTGCGGCTACGGTGCTTGGCGGCCTTATGGTGCTCATGTTCAACATCATGTCATGCGTAATTCTGATTCGGAAATCCATCAACCGGAGTGGTCCTGGCTTTGGCTATGGCTTCATCATGGCTTGGTGTTTCGTGCTGTCATTTTTTTGCTTTCTCTGTGGACTCATCACTTCTGGATTCGACCCGGTACGTGGGTGGGTGGTTACGTAGCAAGTTTAATTTAGCTGGAGAATCCGGCTCCGTTCGCAGCAGAGACAGGGCGGGGCGGGGGCAATACTTCTAGCTTCCATCAATTATTGACCTGTGTTTTGTTCCTTTCCCCCTTCCAGGTGGTTAAACAAAATCTTCGCACTCGTAAGTGTGTTTCGGGGTTGCATAGACAGTCCCGTAATCCTGGTGGACAGTCCCTCGTGTCCTTGCAAGCCCCGTGCATGCACTTGACTTGATGTACAAGCCCAAAAAAACCAAACCCCGCATTCCTACTTTTTTGTCGACAGACACAAAATGGTCCAGGATAGACGCTGGCGCATACGAGGGGACGACAGCCTTCTCGTTCATCTGCGCTGGTTTTTACATGTTTTTCTTCATCTGTCTGGTAGTCTTCCAGGGAGGCATCATGAAGCAAACAGGCCTATGTAAGTACGCATCGAGGATCCGGTTCAAGTATGGTGATCTATCCGATGCGTTTCAGCCAAGGCTAAAATGTTATGGTCAGCGCCAATTATGCGTGTTTAACCCCCCTGCCAAAAATATAACAACCTTGGTTGCTTTCTCCGTGATGATGCACCTACATCTTGCAAGTCCATCCAAGTAAAACTGCGTTCATGTTGCTGTAACATTGATCGGCTGGTTTATGTTCGCTGCTTTGCCCACTATGTCGCAGATGACCCGCGGCAGGACGAGAAGCGCAAGATGGAGATGACGGCGCTAGCGCAACCCGGCCTTGGTAACCCTCTGGCGACGCCTCCGGGGGCGTCGAATACCATCTAGCTTTGTTATCATACACAGTTATCTACTTTAGAAGAATATCCTGACCCTCGGGTGTGTCTAAACGCCACAGTCAAAAGCATTGTGCCGACACCTTGCTGGTTGGATGGTCATGGGGTGTGGTGGGGTGATTTCTGGAGAGTACATGCTTGGACGGTACAGGGCTGACAAAATGAGACCACACTGGCGTGCGTCCGTGAGGGGTGCTGAAGATGGCGGTGAGTCTGCGGTGGTGTGGATCCATGCTGGTGGAGGCATGGCACGTTGCGACTTCATAACTATTTACATACATATTTAACATTTTGTACAATGGCACAAGGTGAGGAAGTGCAGTCGGCTTGTCAGTATTTTCCATTACATTAATTCCTGGTCAAAATTCTAGGATACACGAGAAGTCGCCTCAAATCTTTCGTGTGGTAATCTGAGCATCATTCAAGGTTAACACGTGAGCCACCGCCATCCTACTCACCTACAAATTGACAAATACATAAGGAACTCCGAGCTTGGGTATCCCTGCGTCACCCGCGTCGTCGGGCATGCTGTCCACCCGCATATATCTCGTAATTTTATCACTAAGAAAAAGTCGTTTCGACATTCCACTGTCAAAAGAAAAGCAGAATCACTATCGCTCTCAGAACCTGGGACCTATTTTAACAAAAATCACTCGAGTTCACAGCCTGGGGAAGGTTGTCCCGCAACTGTACAGCGCCACTCCCCTTCCTGCTGTCACCATCCAGCATGGTTCCAAACATTATCTCCCTCTGCCAGCATATGTTCTTACATTACCCCTAGGGCGCTCTCAACCGCTTTCAGCTGGTGGTCCAGCTCCGAAGTGGAGAGCCGTGTGCTGCTCCCACCCGGCCCACCGAACGGCACGCCCACCTCCGTGCACAACAACCGCACCCGGCTGCTCAGCGCGTCCGGGCTGATGTCCGCCTCTGTCAGGTCGTTGCCAAACAATATCTTTTCCAGCTTAATAATCCGCTGCTTCACTTGTCGGACAAGAGGGTCCAAGGGGCCTTGGGAGCCTACGGAGCCGTTTACGCCGGTGGTTTGTTGGCTGCTACGAGCCGCGCTGGAGGCGGCCACACGGCTGCCGCCGCCAGGGAGATCATTAGCCAGGGAGGAAGCGTATGGCGCTGGCGCGCTAGCCCCAGCTAAGCCTCCCGCAGGCTTGCTTGCGGGCCCCAAAGCGGGAAGGGCGCTCGGAGACCTGGTGCCCTGGGCAAACCTGCCTGTGCCCCCGGTCGGCAACAGCTGACTTGCCGAGATGGTGCCGGCTGTAAAGACGCCAACGCTGCGGGCATTCGCGGCGCATGCAGCGGCGCTGCAAATCCAGTCCGCTGCCCCCAAGATGACAAGACCTAGGGCAAGCACTGCAGCCGCATCGCCTCGGTGATCCTGCAGTAGCTCGTGGCGTAGCAGCCATAACCACGCCGGAACTACAATGAACGACAATGTAACAACCCAATAGGACGCGGACGCCGCGATGCGAATAAGAAGCTTGGTCAACTTCTGCATGTCAACAAAGTCCGTAGGGGGGCATAGGATGGGCAGTAGCAGCGCCGCCAGGCCCTTGGGTTTGTCATACGACAGCTGGCCCTGCATGATTGTGCTGCTTGAAGCCGGCGCGCGTATGTCGGTATTGCCTCGCCCCGCGCTCCTTGTGCTGCTTGTACGGTTGCTGCCAGTCGAGGTGAACCAGGTACGCCAAGGGGAGCCTGTGGGTTGGAGCTGCTGCTGCTCTTCAGCGGTCAGCGCAAGGTACTCGCGCCACAGGAGGGCGTAGCTGTCACGGCTGACTTCGGAGCGGCTCCGACGCGCACGAGAGACCGATCGACTGCGTCTTGGGGGATCTTGGGCTGCTACAAACGATGGCTCAGCGACGGGCTCAATGCCCCTGTCGATAGAGTCGTGCGGTGTTGTGAACCTTATTGCAGGCAGCGGTGCGGGCGCCTCGGGTGGGGTGCTGGGTTCAGCTGCCGAGCTGGCGGTGCGAGTTGTCTCGGGCGAGGTTGACGGGGTTGGAGGGGCCTCCGGCGCTAGAGCATGGGCGGCAGAGGGCGAGGGGCTGGGGGGAAGAGTTGCAGGTGTCGCTGACGAGGTGCCAGGTAGAGCTTCGCCTATATATAGGGTCCGTACTGCTGCAGGAACGGTCTCTTGTTCTGTCTGGGTGCTGGCGTCGGTGGAAGTGGGAAGGTTAGAGGCCCGGGCCTGTGGTGCAGGTACCTACGCGAGAAATCAGAGGTCGGGAAATCAGGGCTTGAAACAGCCGCCAAAGATAAGAACCTTTACCATGCCTCTCACCACAGGTGTCTGACTGCTATTTAAGTTGTCAAGTGCTAATTGCTGTAAAAATCGTGATCGCTGAGGCCGCTGAGTCACGTAAGTCCTTTTGATGGCTAGAGCGCCAAAGTGGTCCTCCGACCCCACCCAATCCGCAAACAAGTTAAGTTCAGGTCTTTGATCACGTATGGTAGGCCCTCCGCCAGGCATGCAGCAACTTGAGGCGGAGGGCGCTGCGAGTACCTAGTACCCGGTGTGTTGCAGATCCCCAAAACTATGCCGTCAAGGTAAAGAATACCGTGCGTCTAACACAGGCACTAAGTGACATGTTCAAAAAGCCCTTTCTCATAAAGCTACGTCGAAGGGAATGGCGGTTGAAGCGGTTGTCATGCCGCAATGATCCTCGTTGAGCAGTTTTGAAGGCCGTTGGCAGAGTGTTAAGTTTAAGCAACCAAAGCTAATCGGTAACTTCTTTGTATTTTGATACAATTCATATAGCCACTTTCCTTGAATCTCGCGTACCCTGCTGTCGTTGCAGTCAAGCATCTATTTTGACTCCGCCTACCGCGATCCATTTCCGGCATTCCCGCCTGGATAACATCCTACTGTGGAATGGGAGGCTGCGCTAGTTGTCCGGCGGATAAATACAAGACCAGCCAGGAGGTTGCGGACCTGCGTGCCCAAGTAGACCAGCTGCAAAAAGCACTGGCATTGGCCCATTCCGGAGGCGCATCTCTTCCTCCTGCTCCTCCTATTCCAGCACCCGGCAATGTGAGGCACATTCACGCGCAACCCCCTTAAGCTGCTGCCTGTGTGGCATTTACTATCAGAGGGAAATGCAGGAGGCCAAACAAGCAAACGTCGCGGGAGTCCGCACGACCACCCCTGAGCATGATTTCACCATGCTCATTCCCCCGCCTATCCCCCGCCCTACCATCCCGCCTCCCCCGGTATCTTTGCCCTTAAGAGAACGCGACCCACATCGCACAATCGTCAGGAGGACGCTCCTTGAGGCCACCACCTTGCTGTCCCCCTGGGCCCGTGTCGCCTAGTAGTGGTGCTCGTACTGCTTTTCTGGTCTTTGTTGAGAATTTGTTGATTGGACACAATGCACTTGAAGACATTTCCGACGTGTTTCTCGCAACCCGCAGCGCATCTCCGCTGCGGTTCCTTTGAGTGCTTGGAGAGCTTTGCGCCTTTTCGCTTCCATGGACCCTCGCATAGCTCCCCCACGATCCCCACAGCTCCCTACCCGGCACCCCTCCGCCCACCCACCCACCCTCGCCGCCGCCGCCGCCAGGGGTTCGACAGCGGTGTCGTCGAGACGCTGTTCTTCCCGGATTCCAAGCTGCCTTGCCGCAACATGAGGAAACCGGGCGGCTGCAGACGACCCCATTGTGAGGCGGGCCATGGCACTTGAGGCTATAGTCCTAGGGGGAACTGGTGGAGGGGGAGGAAGGGAGGGGGAGGGGGGGTTACCCTGGTGGGCGTTGCGATGCGATAGCGGCGGCGGCGGCGCGCACATCCCGAGGGGGTGGGGGTGGGGCCCCACCCCCACCCCCCTCCGCTGGCTGGGTAGGGCTCGTCTGTGTCTGCCGGCAGCTCTCCTTCCCCTTTCGTTTCCCGTCCTGCCCTTCCCGGCCTCCCTCCTAGCCGAAACCCGACTTGCCCCCTCAGGTGAGTTCGCTCACGAGCCCACCAGCCTCACTCGCTTCCTGGCCCACCTGGCAGCCGCCACCCGCCACCTGGATATCTGTGTGTTCACCATCACCAACGACGACATCAGCGATGTGGTGAGAGACGAAGGGGGTCGTGAGGGGGCCGTGACGCATTGTCAAAATGACTCCTCTGAGGGAGGGCCGGAAGAAGGGGAAGACAATGGCGGGTGGGTAAGGTGGGATCGGTGTTAGGGAGGTCAACAAACGCACGTGACGTGGCTTAATGGAAAACGTCGGGAAGGGAGATCCCAACGGGATATAAACCGGGATTTCCAGGGGGTGTGTGTGTGTGTGTTCGATGAAAAGTGTGTGGAAAAACCTTAGGGTTTTAGGGTTTAGGGTTTGGCTCACCGCTGTCCCGCGATTGGACGGCAGAATGGACATTACTCGTACGGTTTGTCCTACACCGTACAGGTGCTTGACCTGCACCGGAAGGGCGTCAAGATCCGGGTCATTACCGATAACGACCAGGCACAAACGCAGGTGGGGGAGGGGCGGGGCGGGGCAGGGGCAGGTGGCAGCAGACTCCAGCAGCCACCCCATCATTGCACAGCTCCACCACATCAGCGATACCCACACTACCACCCCTCCTCCTCCTGAACCCCTGCACGCTGTACGGCCGTCACGATCCTCCGGTATGGCGCTGGGACCCACCAACATGTCAGACACAAACTACAGACAGACAGACAGATAAACATGTAGTTCCTCACCTCCTCAACCCGCCCATGTATGAATTCTTGGGTACTGGCTCCACCCTCCGGTCGTACTGTCGTGCCGTACGATCCGAACAGGGCTCGGACATTGACAAATTCCGTGCTGTTGGTATTCCTGTACGACAAGACCGCTCACCGGCACACATGTGAGACGGGCGGGAGTCGAAAGGGGAGAGGGAGTGGGGGGGGGTTGGCAACAGGGAGGAGAGGTCAGGAGAACAGGGAGGGGGGAGAGGAGGAGGTGGAAGGGAAGGTCTTTACCTCAGTGTATACGCCCCGAGCGCATTCTCACCCTTTCCTCCGCCGGTGCCGCTCTCAGGCACCACAAGTTCGCTATCATCGACGGTCGTGTGCTGCTGAACGGTTCCTTCAACTGGACCCGCCAGGCCGTTACCGGGAACAACGAAAACGTCACCGTTATGTCAGATGCAAGGCTGGTGAGTGAAGGGGTGGAGTGGGGTGAATGAAAGATGGTGATGTCCGGGTAGGAAAGAGAGCATACGAGGGGGGGGCTTGGTGGACGTATATCACGACCTCCACATCCTCAAGAAGGGCTGCTCCGGCCTCCTGCCAACCTCTCACATGATTCGTCTGTCGTCCCCTCGTCCTGCCTGTCTGGTACTCATGGCCACGCCGTCTGTCGCATCATCATTATCATCATTTGGATTATCGTGATCATCGCTGTCATACCTGTATGTATGTTCCCCTCATACGTCACACAACATATTAAATCGCAGTCGGGTCATTTCAGATATCCGGGCCGGGTTCTTTTTTCCCCAAATACATGGCACCGCTCAGCCTCCTAAGCTTATTACCAGCAGACGGCTCTCTTTCCCCTCCCTTTCTCCCTCTCTCTGTCCCACACGCCTTCCCATGCCGCCGCCAGATCTCGGCCTTCCAGACGCAGTTCAATAAGCTCTGGGAAGCGTTTAAGCAGTGAATGGGCGCAGGAGCGGGGCGAGGCCGTCGGGGAGGGATGGAGGGAACTGTTCGCAGCGTGATGGTATTGCTATCCTTCTAGCTGCTAGCTGCTACCGCACCGGCCGCTGAGAGCGGCGTCGTGATTCCCCGGCCGCAACCCATATCGGGTTGTGTCACCTTGCACCTAAAACACAATGTGGTTGAGAAAGATGTGCTGCAAGCAAAGCAGCCAATAATGATTGTGAAAGCGGTGATATCAACACCCCTATATCAGCATAGCATTACCAATACCAATAGCAATAGAAAAGAATCGACTTGTTTGCTCTAGGTGATACTTGTTATGCGAAATTTCGCTGCATATGAGCCCTATCGTGTGTAGCTTCAGCGTGCTGGGATATGTGTGTGCGTCGCGTGGATGTGTCCTTTCTGTGGTGGAAGAAGGGGTTTTACCATCAGAACATCAGGACATTGTTGACAACGCGGATAGCTGTGGATTGTACGTGAAGTGATAACATGTACCACCTCAAAATGGGCGACATGACTGTAGACGGATACGGGATTGAAAACTTCCACGATGGCGGATCCACGTCTGTCACCGTGGGGAGACCCCACTGGGGCCGGAAATTTCGGGAGTTTAGCGGCTACTGGCTACTACGGTGAATATTTGGTTCCTTGAACGTTGTACAGGGGTGGTACATGGTGTCTGTCCCCTGGGGCCAAGGGCAGAGTGACGGTCGGAAAGTCGTGTGTAGCGAATGGGGTGGGGGCAGGCCACAGATACCGCTGGAAGGTAAGTTATTGCCGAGGGCCGGGGACAGCAACTGGTTCGAGGTTGGTTCGACGGAAGCCGCAACGCTATATAGGTTTCCAAGGCGGTCAGGCGCTACGTGTGGATAGGGGTTACACACCTCAACTCTGGATGCACGATGGTCCCCCCCCCCTTTTAGCATAAACACGGAACATGACCATTACACAGCTCCTCCCGGCCACATCGCGGTGGCGTTAGCCAGCGTTACAAATACAACCAACGCATCTAAACGCATATACGGCATACGAGTCTCCATTTTTGCAGGTAACTGGCCCCCTCTCACCTCGTCTAGCAGCTATTAACCTCTAAAGTAGGGGGCAACGCCGTCACTGCCCACATGGTGATAACGGACCCCACCCAGGAACCACCTTGATATATTTTACCGCAGCTTATTATTATGAATTATTACCGCAGCTCCATCCTAATGTGATGACGGCACCCAGCCCCCACCCAGGGCGTCCAGGGCCATTCCCCACTCACGCCCCCCTCATGCAGCCGCCGAAACCACCACGTGCGCATGAGCGCGACGTCTTTTGACGGCAGCAGTTTCCTGACATGGTCCGGAGCCCTTCCTCCTCCCGGGCCACAGGCCAGGCAGCGCCAGGGGCCAGTCACCAACGTGTGCTGCTAGATACCAACAGCACTGTGTACCAGTCCGGTAGAAGGTGGGATGCCTAGGGGACGCAGATGCCAGCAGGTGCCCCCGGTATACATGACGGCAGCTGCACGGACGAGGAACACTGCGCATATAACAATTTTCACAGTACGCCGCGGTACTCCGGCATCTTCCTCATCATCACCTTGGTCCTCCTCCTCTTCACGCCGCAAACACTGTTTGATCCTTCCTGCTCTTGGCCTCGATAGAACCTGGCTTCAGCTTGGATGCCTCGTGGCGGGCCAACTCGGGCGGTACGGCAGCCTTGCTTTCCTCCAGCAGCTTCTTAAGGTCGTAAAACACACCTGTGCAAGGAGCGTGGCGGCGGGGTGAGAGGTGGGGTGAGCAATAGACTCGCACACGTACACGTGCACACACAAGCCTACCAGCCAACACGCACACGTACCTGTGTCGCCCAGTGTGAGGAAGGTGACGGCCACTCCCTTCTTGCCAGCTCGGCCCGTACGACCAATGCGGTGCGTGTAGTTCTCAATGTTGTTAGGCATGTCGTAATTGATCACCAGCGCCACATCCGGCACGTCGATACCACGGCCAGCCACATCGGTGGCGATGAGACAGTTGTAGGTGCCGTCCCTGCAGGTCCCAAGGGGGTGAGGGAGAGTATTGCGAGGTGAAAAAAAGAGTCCAATCCAGCGAGTTGCCTCCAGCTTTCCTCTTCCCCGCCTCGACCTCTAAACGCCCCGGACGTGCAATCCGTCATACACACGCACGCGCACATTTCGGGCTGGTGGGAAATCCTCCGTATGTATCCTCCGGAATCCTCCGTATGTTCCGCTCCGTTTCCATCGCCTACGCCTCTCACCTGAAACCCTTGATTCCCGCCTCGCGCTGGTCCTGTGTCTTCCCGCCGTGCAGTATCGTGCAGCGGTACCCCAGCTCCTCCAGGTGCCGGTGCACGTTGTCGCACTGGCGCTGAGTGTTGACAAACACAATGACACGCTTCTCATCCACCGACTCCATCTCCTGCTCCAACCTAGTCAACCGAGGGAAGGGGGAGGGGGTGGTGTCTTAAAAAAATGAAGATGTAAGGCGGGAGGAAGAGGTGCAGGAGTGGGAGGTGTACGCGGCAGGCGGGAGGGGCCCGAGGGCCCGATGCACTAGCCCTATGGGGGCCCGCAGCTCTTCTCATCTCTAATAGTTGCCTCCAGAAGGGGGCGACAGCGGCAAGCACCAAGTGCTGAAGGAGGAACAGAATCGGCTGTGTGACCCCCACATCGAAGTACACCCTGAGCCTCTCTGTCCCCTCACCAGCGCACCGCCACATACCCCTCCCTTCTCCTCCTCCCCCCCTCCAACCCAGCGCCACATTACCCCGTAATGATCCTCCTGCATTTAATACCTCCCTCTTTCTCCTCCTTCACCTCCCCGCCCCACCCTTTCCCCTCTTCCCCCCTCCCCCGAGCCTCCCCGAACTCACACTCGGGGTTTCTCGTTCTCCTTCACCACGAACACACGCTGCGTGACGTTGTCCGTGACCTTGCCAGCGCTGCCAATCACCACCACCACCGGCCGCCTCAGGTACTTCTTAGCCAGCCGCTCCACAGCGGGGGGCATCGTGGCGGAAAACATGTATGTCGTACGATACGTACGGTTGGCCTCAAGTACGGCACCGTCCTCATCTGGTTTTAGGAAGGAGGACGGCATCGCGTCCAGCACACCAATCACCTGGCAGGAAACGGACGAGGAGGAGGTGGAGGAGGGGGAAGAAAGCAGCAGCTCCCTAAGTCCCGGCAGACTTCGGTGAATACCAACAATAACAATAACAATAACAATAATAATAATAATAATAATAATAGTAATAATAATAATAATAATAACACGGAGAGCAAAACAGTCTCGAGACTTAGTTTGCGTGCAGCCTTATTCGCATGAGTTCGCATGTGATGTCCTCGTCTGCCCACCCCCACCTCCTCCTGCCGTACACAGCTCCCTGTGCCCTCCCTGGCCGCAGCCGTCTTCCCCTGTCCAGGCAAGCTCCCCAGCTCAGGCAAAAAACCTACTACTCCGCAGCCCTTTCCCCCCACCCACTCCAACACACCTGCGGTTCGAACCCCAGGTCAATCATTCTGTCCGCCTCGTCCAGCACCACGTAATTGCACTGGTTGAGTACCGCGTAGTGGCGGTCGATGCAGTCCAGCAGACGGCCCGGCGTGGCGATGACGATCTCACAACCCTGACACACACACATACACGGCGGGCGGGTGGGGTGGGGTTTGGGAGTTTAGGTACTGCAACCCACATCCCCAAGTCCCCTCCAAATCCTGGCTTATCCTCCCCACACACACACACACACCCTCACCTTCCTCAGCTTGGCGCCCTGTTCCTCGATGCTCTGTCCTCCCACCACACTGGCAATGCGGTAGTTGGTGTAGTAGGCCAGTTTGTGGGTCTCCTCCTCAATCTGCTGGGCCAGCTCGCGAGTGGGGGCAAGGACCTGCAACGCGACAGGGGGAAGGAGGGCCAGGCCGGAGGAGGGGCCAGGCGGAGCAACAGTAGCAGACGTCTGTTGAGTCCAGACCAAGGACCACGGTCCAGGCTTTTGAACTGGGTACCGTTTTATGGATACAGCAGCAGCTAGGAAACAACATATGTTAACTTTTTTCCCGCCAGATGCGTATCTATCGCATTTCTAATTTATTATAAATTAGGTAGCTTGAGGACTCGGCTGAACTTGGTTTCCTACCAAAGGGGGGTTGGTCTTGCCCCTTTTGGGGGAGACAGGAATGACCGCACAGGTGGCGAAATGGGAACACTCTAGAAACCAACCCATTGCTGCACCGTACGACTCACCACCGCGTAGGGCCCATCCGCCTCGTTCTCCTCCGTCATGGGTGGCTGCCTCATGATGTACGACAACATGGGCAGTACGAATGCCGCTGTCTTTCCAGATCCCGTCTCCGCAATACCGATGACGTCCCTCTGTTGCAGCCCCAGGGGAATGGCGGCCATCTGGATGGGTGAGGGCTTCTTGTAACCCACCCGGTCGATGGCCTGAAGGGGGAAGTCGGCGGTGGAATGGGTGATGAACCGGGTGGGGTGTGCGGCGGCGCGCAGTAGCGGGGTGAGGAGCAGGCAGAAGAGCAGCGAGAGGTGGGAGAGAGCGAGGTGAAAAGTGAGAAAATAAGAGGGAATAAGGGAAGATCGTAGAACAGGACCTCGCAGAGGGGGATGGGGAAACGACGAACCACGTGAACGAGTGAAGCTGCTGCCAAGGAAAGAGTGTACAAGAAGCAGAACTGACCAGTAGACCCACGGAGAGGGGGGAAGGGGGAAACACTCTGTACAGTGCGCCACACACAACACGTTCCAATGACCCCACCAACTCCACATCATGACGCCGTCCCGGGTGCCCCCGCAGCAATCCCGCTCTGAGACCTCCCCGGTAGGTAGGTACATGTGAGAGTCGCGGCTCGCTGGCTCTTCCGACCATAACGCGGATTCCCACTGCCGGTTACGCAAGCAGCACACGCGCTAGCTCGCTTCCTCGCTTCCAACCTGACATCATCATCCAACCGAAGGACGCGGCGTCGCAATCCAATCCGAAGCCGCTCGCTCCCGAATCTCGTTTCCAAGTCCCCAGCCCGCCCCCCCGTTTTGCAGCAGCGCTCAGATCTCGGGTCTCATCACCCAACACGCCACCACCTCGACCACCTCAGCCATCACCCCCCCCCGAGCACCACCCCCCCGCGTCAGCAGGGCGGCTGCCCGGGTGGCGATGGTGGCGGTCAAGGGACAGCGCTGTACAGATTAGATCATGTGGTTTTTGTGGTCCTCATCGCGCCGAGCCGAATGTACGGGGAACAGAAAGCCTCCCCGGCACCACCGCCCCCATCCGCCGCACCTCCACTGCCCCCTGCCCACTCTGTGCCCCACCTTGATCAGCAGCGACGGCAGTCCGCTCTCCTCCCACTTCCTGATGGGCAGCACTGTGTTGACACCTCGGTAGCCGATGTTGAAGTCCTCGCGGAAGATGCGCCAGTCGCGTTCCGTCATCTCCTCCAGAGACTTCTCAGTCCAGTGCTTCTCAATCTGATGGAGGGGGGTTGGAGTGGGAAAGACGAACCACGTGAACGAGTGAAGCTGCTGCCAAGGAAAGAGTGTACAAGAAGGAGAACTGACCAGTAGGGGGTGGGTGAGTGGGGCGGGGCGGGGCGGGGTGGGAAAGACGAACCACACACGATTGAAGCTGCTGCCAGGGCAAGAGAGTAGCAAACGTAAAACTGACCGAAAGGCGTCCGGTGGGGTGGGGGGACTACAAGATGCAAAAGGCAAGGAACAACTGCCGACCCGTCTGAAGAGGTGCGCGAGGGTGGGGTGGGGTGGGCTAGGGTAGAGGGGGGGGGTCATATGTACGACACATAAAATCTATTCCTGAGGGAGGCCACCTCCTCCCTCAGGAGGAGGTGGCCAAGTTAGCAAGGGGTGCAGGAAACTGAACACTGCGAAGGTCCGACAAAGGCAGCGACACAAACAGACAGCTGGGCAGCTTACTGTTGCATTATCTGACACCCACCCCCCTTCCTCACCCCCCCATCTCCCACAGCCTCACCCGCATGTCAAACCCGTCGTACTGGTCTGCCAGCCTCTTCCGCTCCCGGTCGTGCTCCCGGGTCTCAGCGGTCTCCACCAAGCCGGCGGCGGAACGAGCCTGAGAAGGGGGCGGACGAGGAAGGGGGGTTAACCACATGATGATGACGGTGCAAGAGACATACCAGCATAAATTGACGCGAAATGCATTTAAATTGAAGAAAGGAGGGGGGAAAATCATAAGCATGAAAAGGGACGGGGGAAGAAGAGACTAGGGATTGCGGTTTTAGGAGGGGCCACTTTAAGCACCGGGAGGGTCCTCCAAGCTATCACCCGCCCACCCACCCACCCCAGCTTCCCCTCTCATCTCTTTTCCCCTCCCCACCGCACCCCACCTAGCCCCCAACCCACTAGCAGCCCCCCGACCACGACACGACTACCTTTCTGAGCAGCTCAGCCTCCAGTGAGGCCGCTGCCTTCTTCTGCTCGCGGCGGTCAATACCCGCACGCATGCCCCGACCGAACATCAGCGCGGCCTCTGAACAGGGTGTGAGGGGCGTGTTCGTTACAATGGGCTTCAGGGCTTTCAGGGAGGCAGAGGACCGTCACGGAGCTCCTGTCTAGGGAGGGAGTGAGCGAGCCCTCCACACACCCCTTGCGGCACAACGCACGTGCTGCCAGCAGTAGCAGTAACCCGCAGCACTGGCAGCAGCGGCAGCAGCCTTGGAAGAGGAGGGCTCACTCACTGGGCCAACGTCGGATCTACACAGTCCTCCTCCCCTCCCGGACAGTCCTAGTCCCAGTCGCACACCGAGCGCAACCCCCCCTCCCCGCAGTAATACTAATACATACGCCTGACCTGCCTTCTAGCCCCGCTGCTCCACCAGCCCAGACAACCCCACCACGGCGTGCATGTGCATGCGGACATACGCACATACACGTGCAATCTCCTATTACAACCCCATTATTACCACCATCCCCTGCGTGGGTAGCTTCTCAGTCATAACATGCCCCTCCCTCCCCTTCCTTCCTCCCACCCCTCTCGGAGGTTGACGCTTGCGTACGATATCCCCTCCCTTTCACCCCCTGCCCCTCCCTTTCACCCCCTTTCACCCCCTTTCCCCTCCCTTTCACCCCCTTTCACCCCCTGCCCCCCCCCCCTC